AAGAATACTAGAGCGCTAACAGCAAAGTATTCGATGTTCGAAATACGCAGAGCTGTGTGTGTGTACCATCCAAGATGGCTGCCATAGATTCAGCCAATCAAATTTCCTCTGAGCGCTATCATTTTCAATTGCGCCCTCAATTTACACAGAAAGTTCAGTACAGCTAGTTACCCGTATTTTTGAAACTCGAGCGTTGCGGTGTGTGGGGTGTAATGTACACAATTTTAATTCTTTCCAAAATTTGAATAAGATGCTCTACTTGGCCTCTATTTGGCTACGACAGTTTAATAATTTGTCATTATCAATACTAATTATCATTAATGAAATAATATTCAGTCAGAGGGCTTATTTATGGTAATAATATATATACTAAGCCTGGAGGTGGCGCTTTCCTACAGCAGCCATCTTGGATGGTACACATACACAACTCTGCATTGCTCCGCCATCTTGTCAGCACTCTAGTTGTTTAATAGCTCTATGAGGATTGTCGATGCCACAGTAAAGATCAAAGGACTGTACGCACGCGCTATGTTCGAGAGCGGAGATGTGCGTCCTTTTGTTGAATTACCTTGGTTGCACTGTACGTAGATAGAGTAGCAGCGCGCGCTAGCACTCGTGAAGGCATACCGTAAAACCTCGAATTGAAGTCCTGGGCTCCTTTTTTTTTGCGAACTGTGGATGGGCTTCTTTTCGAGACTACTTTTTTTGCAAAGTAAAGAGGGAGGGGGCTTCTTTTTAAAATAAATGCTGTAAATTTTGTTTATTTGATGCACTATAAAACAATAAATAAGGGCACTGCAAAATCAATCTATATCATGGAGTGTATTTAACTGGCATTAAATATAACCTAAACACTGTAAACCATGGCCAAGCTTGTATTTAATTTATATTGTTTTCTGAAATTCATGTACAGTGCATATATTGTCAAGTACCGGTACTGTAAATCTCGAAAGAAGCCTAGAAGCTATACTATATTGAAAAAAAATGCCCATGGGCTTCTTTTCGAGGCTAATTTTGCAAATTAAAGAGGTGGCTTCGGTTCGAGATGGGCTTCATATCGAGATTAAGCCCACTGGGCTTCATATCGAGATTAAGCCCACTGGGCTTCAATTCGAAGTTTTATGGTATTACAGTACCATAAACTGCCGCGGCGCTTAATCGAGAGTACCGTATATGTTAGTATTACCATCCATGTGTGTAATGAAACACTTTGAGAAACCGGCTTTTAAATACAATGTAGTGTTAAAATGAATAAATAACACAATGAAGACCCAAGCATTTCTTAATAAACGCGTATGATGACTATAGGACTAATAGCACCTAAGATTGGCCTACCGGAACGTGAGATAGGTACCGTAACACTGGAAACCGGGACATGAAAGTGATGCGACAACATTATTTTTTTATAAGCGCTTCCCTAAAATCTGTTGGTGATAGTGTAGCGATTGTATGGAAACCAATCTTTAGCGTGGCAAAAAAAAATGCCTTTAAAAACGCACTGTAAATTTAAACGCTATAGCAAACGCGTTAGCAACGAAAACTATAGGTCTAGTAAAATATTTGATTAGGCCCTATTTAATGTAGTTATTCAAGCTATGTTTAACATACAGTAATTGTAAATTGTCAATAGTCATTCTAAATTTGTTAAACATAATATGCCAATGAAAATAAATTTCTTCTGCATGATCTGTCATGACAAACCTACATGCGCCCTCTAGTATGCTCTAATAGTATGCTACTTTTCAGAAACAAAGACCTAATAATATTTCATTCATTTCATTTATTTGACAAATATCATTTACAATCACAGTATTTATATTGTTATATGTAAAACAGAAATGCAGGACAGGGTTAGCTTAACTCGGATAAGCCAGCTACCCCCTTCTCAGTGAGCCAGCTACTTTTTTATTGTACGATAGTTATTTCTTTTCGATTTTCATTTAAATTTTGTTCACAGAATATAGGCCTATTTTTTGCGTACATCATAATCGACCAAAATTATATACCGTATTTATTACAATAAATGAGGGAGGGGATTGGTGTTTAATTTGGATATGTTTGTTGTAACTAAAAATAAACGCCCATTAATTTCACTGGGTGATATGGACCGTCAAAATGTGTTATTGCGTGATCATTCATAATAAAGAATTTATGACCCACTGGAACCAGGCTCTAGAAAAAATGTACGGTAATTCTATTGAAGTAGAACTTAACGTGTTAGAATGTTGCTTCCACCAAAGCAAACGCCCCCCCCCCCCTTCAGAATTAAAAAAATTGCTTTGCTTTCAATATATTGACTATACTTTATATTCATTAAAAGGGGAGGTGGGGTGGGGGGCGTTTATTCCGATAAACGCTCGGGCGTAGTATTTGAAGGAGGCGTTATTTCCAATCAATTTAAGAGTGGGGGGGGGGGCGTTTATTCAATGCGGGGGTGTCTATTCAAATAAATACGGTATATAATGAAAAACTAAAAAAAAAAGTTTAGAATATGATGGGAGGGAAGTCCATAAGAATTAGGGAGTCTTCGTAAAACAAGGATAGATTTGAGGGAGCCAACTTTAGAGGTAGGACTATGGGATGAATAAAGTCAGAGCCCTATTATGTCCTCGTGTTGTTGATGTCCGTACGTCACCAATGGATTTGTCAACGACGTAATATTATTCCATTGTATCCGTTCTAACTTCGTCAAATATAAATCTCTCAAGTTGACTTTTACTCCAAATCGACATAATATCACAAACATCTCGCATCCAAAGTACTGCTTCATGAACCAATCTAATCCAAGATTTCTATATGCAGTTTCTATGATATCTCCAGTGCTTAATGCTGGTATGTTATATAATAGTTTCTTGTGTTTATCATTATTTATTCGCAGAAGATTGTGTCCGGCTACACGCTTTAGTTTTTCTTTTATCACGCAAGGAAAACGCACGTGAATTAGTTCTTCGCTGCCAACGTAGATTGCCCAATGATTGAACGACGCGTTTATATGTTGTATTTCTATTATATCTCCAGGTTGACATAGCTTTAGGATTCGGTCCGAAGTGGTGAATTTATTTGGACTATTACCCATTGTATAAACCGATGGTACGGTATATCAGCGCTGTTGGCGTCACAATAAACGACGGGGGCGCCCGTGTGCGCGTCGATATGATCGGTGAATCAACGACGTATTACGTGGTTTGTATACAGTACGGTAAAATGTTGCGTCGCTTGAATTGACGATGCGCTGACGTATCGGTATGGATGTTAGTGCGCCGGTTTCCCAAAGATGCGTGACTTGACGATGCGGTGAATTAGGCCGGTACACTTGGGAAAGTGTTGGTGCGATAATTCTCTGCGTGCGGACTTAACGTAAACGTTAAATCGATCTGGTTCCAGTCATTGGCCTTCTTTCTGTGGTCATAATGCAAAATGGTAAACTTTACTTTTGTTATAATACCGGTACAAAATGTATCGGTAGGCATAATTCCAACAGAGCTACATGACGTCATTGTCTTATAGAGCATTATAGGCCTACTTTAAGAGCAATTATTTTAGCCAATAATGATGGCGAGCACTGAGAATCAAAACATCAATAGTCGATGGATCGGATTCTGTAAAATATATGCACGAATATCCATCAGTTCTGGCCAGACGTAGACCTACATACAATGTGGTACCATGGAATCATTCACGAATACTTAATTCTGTCCTAGTCAAAAAAAAAAGAGTCTTATTCTAATTAGGCCTAAACCGCATGACTCCTCGTGTTGTGGCTATATAAATAAGCTATTATAAGAGAAACGACTTACCATACAAAGAGCAAGCTGACAGTAGTAGGCCAGGCCCTATTACTTTAAAAATGCAGGCGCGGTCTTAGATCCTTTGCAAGTCGGGCCTATTTTTAACTATATTATAGGCTGACTAATACATATGTTATTCTTGACAACAACTACGGAACTTTTAGGTCTTTATTTGCGAAGGACAAGCAGATGAAAAGGCTCGTGGTGTGGTTTATTAAGCGGTATCACGATTGTTAGGTAAAACTCATGATAACAAAAGACGGATACGGTTGTTTAACAAAAGAACTTTAACATATTCAATAAAAGAGATAATCTCAGTATAGAAAAACGTCAAAATATATCGTTTTTGTTATGGAAATTTGTATTTTTATTTCGTAACTTCAAGCGCACAAGCCATGAACATGGCCCCGTCGAGCCTCTTTATGTCCATGTACAAACTACTATTTGTTTAGTGGCAAATAAAGGGGCCTCCAATCCTATACAAACTGTAGTACAGTACGGTATTATTTTATAAAATTGACACAGCAACGCTTATAAACGCGCGCACATAGGCTATATCAGGGCAGAACTTAAAAGGGCACCTTTTTTAATGGTCCCTTTTAAGCAAGTTCAGCCGTGATTCAGATGCCAAAGTGAGAGTAAATAATAAACAAGCTCAACCAGTTGGCTTTTTAAGACGAAACTTAATGTTTTGTCAGATTTTTTTTTTAAATTGCTTCTTTTTCATTGATCATATTTCATTTTCATTTATTTAGGCCTATTTGATTCAGCGGCTGTTTATAACCAAAGTCGGCAGCTGTCGAGCAACTGTTTGGGACAGGGTGACGTGTTGCTATATACCTTTTCATAAATTAGTAAATCTTACATTGTTAAGTCACGTGACCTTCATGACGTCATTGAAATATTCTTGTCTTGTATTTTATATTCACATCAAACATACCTAAAGTTCAGTTGAAAAAAAAAAAAAAACTCGTCTCGTCTGTCACAAACCTTAATGTGCCCTCTATGATGGTCACACGTTACAGTTATTAATTTAACCAAAAAAAAACAAACCAAAACTATACATTAATCAGAAAACAGGGGCGAATTTAGGCCCCCTTCCCCCTTTTTGAAAAGTGAGGGAAAAAAGGAAAAAGGAAAGAATGATCAAGAAATTATTGATCGGCCAAAACATCTCGGAGGTTATTTCCGGCCGTCTAGAAAACAAAACGTTTATACTTTTATCAACCAAAAGTTATATAATAAGCCTATAAGTATATATATAAGAATTCGAACAAGAAGGATGGTCGGAGGATGAGATGAAGACGGCTGTAGATGGCGACAAATCCGTTTTTCTCATTCTCAATAAACTCATCGCCACATAGCCCTTAGTGTATTTAGCTCAGATCAACATTGTTGACATGTGCTTACGCTAAATTCACAGAGGGCTATGTGGTAAATATTGAATCAACGACCTGTGTGTGTACTCAGCTCGCGTATCAAATTTGAGATGTCCCATTGAAAATAAAATGCTGGTAGCCATGTAATGCATATAAAATCACCTGAGATCGCTGAGTGACGGCTTGTATCACTGTGAAGTCATGATTAAAGCCGTGGTTTGACAGATTAATTCGGTATCTGATAGTAAGTACACTAGTAAAACATTTTTTTCTTCTCGATTCCCAGGCCTCCTCATTCCGGTAGATAGTAGAAGAAATCGAGGCCTTTCTCTGTGCTGATGTGGCATGGCCAAACATAGGCCTAGTCACTTCTCTCTAGTTATAGCTATTTTGACAGCATGACATGAGCCATATTGTATTACATTAATTCAGCAGCCGCAAATAATATATTTACATTTGATTATCATTTATGGCAGCGGTGCTCACCAACAATGAAATCTATGGTTGGAGTGATTCATCCAATGTACTAAACAGTATCAGAATTCTGGGGTTGGGGAGAGGGAAACTGATCATCTGGAACTTTCAGCTCTCCAAAACTGAGACTCTAGCAGTGGCTTTAGCCTGGGTGGTAGAGTGTGGGGTGGGTGGTCAGGGGATGTGAGAATAGACCCTTCTGGAGAGTCAATTAACAACTGATCAGAATAGGGCCAGGAATACGTGTCTAACATGCACACGTCCTATAGTTTGCAACGTATTTAAACCCTGCCGTTTTGTGGGACATAATAATAATAATGTAGTTTTATATATAAATAGCGCCAAATATCCATCTAACATAAGATGCTCAGGGCATTTGATATGTGGACTAGAAACTCGATCAGTGACTTTCTTCACCCCTAAGGGTCCCTCTGTGTTTGTGCTACCCTGTACCCAGCAACTCTCGTCGTCCACCACAGGGGCGGTCTGTTCCAGTACACTGGGGTATCCCCCTATACTCGTCTTGGCATTTGACTCGCCATAAATATGCAACAATAAGGGGTAGGGGTTATGGTCTATTGTTGGGGGAAGCTATCCGACAGGAGGTTCTGACAATTTTTCAGTAGGCTAGAAACCAGTGCCAGGATCCCAGGGGTGAAGAATTGGAGGGGTAGACAAAATGTCCCCATGTATCAAGAGCAGACCTGCCAAAGCTATGGAAAAAATTGCTGGACATTTACCTCAGACAAACAATGGTTGTGGCTAAGGTGGGAAAAATTTTAAGTGTCCCCCTAAAGTGTCCGTAAGTAAATGCATTTTATACACTGTAGATGCGGGGACAAAAATGAAATATACAAAATTACTGTCTTAGGCTGTTCATTTTTTTTCATTAATAGTACATTTATTTTGTACCATACAGTGTATTTTCCAATCTTGTATGACTATACATTTTACAAATGCAGGCAGGACCACGGGTAAACATTTTTTGCATGACTTTCACTAAATGCGGACACTTTTGGCAGGTCTGCTAGAGAATCTTAACCTGTTCTGAGACATATCAGAATGTATTTAATTGTAACTAAAGAATTTTTTTTAAATACTTGTAAGTTTTCTTTTATTTGAACTAGTAATGATAACTATTATAATATTGATAGTATGATAATGATGATAGTTATTATTTTTGTTATGATTGTTATAATGAAGATAATGGTGATTGTAGTTATAATGGTACATAATGGTGATAATAATAATAATAATAATAATTATAATTATAAATAATAAATAATAAAATAATAATGGGAATTTTGCTGTAATGATGGTAATAATAACAATAGGTTTTGTATGTAGAATAATTATAATTATTATTGTTGTTACTGTACTTAAATGGTGATTGTGATGACCTTCTTTTTTTCTTTTAATGACTGTTTTTTTTTTTTTTTTTTTTTTTTGCTTTTTTTTTTTTTTTTTTTATTGCTTGCTTTTTGCTTGGTGTTGTGATGTGTTGTCTATCATATTTTATCTTACATTTTAATGATGTTTTTTTTTTATACTGGATGGGAGTGGTTCTCAAACAATTGTTATAGTAATTAAGTTTACTTTAGAGACCAGGCCCTCCCATCAAGATTATTCTATTGTGCAATAAAAGAATAAGAATAAGAATAAGAACTGAATCCTGGTCGATGGGGGCTTGATCCCCTGTTCCATCTGGCACTAGTTGAGAATATTCAGGAGGCATAGAAAATTTTCTTTTTCTGTTTTTGGTTTCTGTTTTCTTTCTCCAAGCTCCTCTCATTCCTTAATGTAATGTTTAGGTAGCCTATTTTGTACCGCATATTTCCCAGAGGATACAAAGCACTAATTCTGAAAAGAAAATTAATAAAAGTGTATGTTTGTATGAAATAATTAATTGTGTTATACTGTGTTGTACCAGGTTATGTCAGGACAGCATCGCTTTCACATGTGGCTATACACAAATACCCACCGGAAAATACAATGTAACAGTTGCTGATAATACAAACAATACAGAATATTATAGCCAAAAATTCAAACATACGGTAATTTGATGAAATACTAATTTCATGTTGTGTACGTCCTGTTTAAAGCCCCATTCCTGGCAAAATTTCACTAAAAAATATTTTTTTTGGAAAAAAATGCATATGCATTTCTCTATTTATTATAAACAATGGAAAAATATTGGCATAAATTTTAGTTTTACGCAAAAGAATTTAAAAAAAAGGAGAAATACAGACTATTTCTATAGGAGATTACCATTTTCTTGACGAATTCTTTTGTAGATCGCATCCGCTGGAATGCTCTCACTTTTATGTATACTCCATCCGCATTTATTTTTTGTGTGGAACACAAAAAATCTAATTTCAGTCTTATTTTACATTTTTTTCATGTTTAGGAATGTCTAAATTCAGTTAAATTAGCAATTTCGTATTGCATTTATAAATCTTTATAACGTTATATGAAAATCAGATTTTTCTTAACAACTGAAATCTTGCCAGGAATGGGGCTTTAAAAGTATAAGTAAAAATTCTTTTAATAATTTTTGATATCACATGTCTTAAATGATGAAGGCGCATCATGAAGGGAACCTGCACTTAACACAATTTAAAAACTTTGACATCATATTTAATATGGTTGCTTTCGTTATTCAATTTCCGTTCATTGATTCGTGTGTTGAGCGTACAGTTTGTCCCTTTGATGGTGCGCATTTTCAGCCTTTGATCTTTTTATCACAGGTGCACAAATTCCTTTTGCACAGAGTTTGATGCACGGCTATAGATATTTGTGAAATACATGCAGCCTAAATGTCAGTTCAATATGTAATGTGAGAGATTAACAGGCTGCAGTCGCTACCAATATTGACAGAATGTCAGAACAAGAGATTTTAATTTTTTTTTTTTTTATAAGTTTAAATTGTCACTTGATTTGCATAATTCTGCTTTATTTTCTGATGATGTAATCTCATGTTAACGTTATTCTGTACTAACTCGTATTTATAATGATACAAACTGAATTCCAGTACTTAAAGCTTAATCAAATCACTCATAAAGCAAGCTATGTTAATCATATGCTGGTGGCATTATAGTTAAAGGTACATTATAAGAGCATCAGTACCAGCACCATTATGAACTTGAACATTTGCCTCCCTCAATTATTAACTCCTGCTCTCAAGTTAAACTGT